GGCAAAGATGGCTGTCTTTACGAAGTGATATATCAGGCCGAAGACGGATGGTTTGGTCGCAAATGCAAAAAAGTGAACCATTCCTCGAGTGTCATCTCATACTTCTTTCCCTCGTTATTCAACGTTACAAAAGATGGTATGAATTGCGTCGACAGCACACAGTGTTTGCAAATTAGTTGATTTGAATCCTCTTTTAGACGAAGTAATTCAGATGGAAATCGACGAGAAAAGACATATACTTTACACGCTTACCAGAAATGGAACCATCGATGTGTTTGACTTGGGATCAGATGGCAAAAGCACTTATAGAGTGACATCAAAGACATTGAACGCTATAGTGAACGAGGCGTCGACCGCCGCCCAAACTATAGATCAGTTAAACTTTAAGCCAATTGTCTCTATCAGTGCTATAGAAGAGAGTGAATCGATTCACGTAAACTTGATTGCTGTGACCAAAGCCGGCGTTCGGCTCTACTTTACCACAACATCGCTGTCATCGCCAGAACAGCGTCCGTTTGCGTTGACACTAATTCATGTCAGACTTCCGCCCGGTTTTACCGCATCGTCGCCATCGCAGAGACCGACATCTGTTCACTGCTCGCACTTCAAGAGAGGCACTCTTCTCATGGTTTCGTCGCAAATGGAAAACAAAGACCTGTTGTGGACAATAAGCGGCGACTCATTTGCGTTCAATTCAGAACTGATGGAACTCTTCTCAGTCTCTCATTTAAACAGCAAAATCTGGAGAATTGCCGAAGAAGTGAAATCTATTCCTTATAAACCATTTCATTCATATGTGCTGAAGAACAAAGTGGTGGCCATAGAGTCACCCCTAATGGTCACTCAACACATGGAAGAGCCCCGAAAGTTCATATTCTTGACGTCTCAGGGAATTCACATCGGCTTTAAGCCCAGAATTGTTGACCAATTGTTGCAGCTTTTGATTGAGAATCAGGGCTACGATAACGAGTCCGTTAAAGCATTCTTCGCTTTGCATTCTGGCCCTCAGGGATGTGCTATCGCTCTGATACTGGCCTGCGGTTCAAAGTCAGCTCAAGAAACCAAAATCAAAGAGTGGGCGACGGCTGCCTTCTTCCACTTCGGCGGTGATCCTCAACAGATGGCCACTCATTCAGTGCCACTACAATCTCGATCATCATTTCCACCCCAGACTAGTCCTCCCTTCGACCGTTCTATACAACAGGTCTCGACACCACTTTCAACAGTTAATCAGCCATTGTTTTCCACCCCTTCGTCGCCTATATATCCACAATCACAACAAATGGGATATTTGAGTCCATCAGATATGGTGTCCCCTCTGTCTCGCAACGAGCCTATGATAACCGGTGACACAAACACTGTTAGCATTCAGTTTTCGCACAAACATAACGGCGTTTATCTATACTTTTCGCGTATCATTCGTCCCGTTTGGAGCCTAAAGTGTGTCACTTCTCAGCGCACTATCACTGCTGAGGGACAGAAGGATTTCTTGGTGTCAAACATATCGTTGAATGAAATTAAATTATACGACAATAGGTTAACGGAATTAAGAGATTTTCTCAAAAGTAATATCAAATTTTCGCTCAACTTTGAGAACGAGAACAACAGAAGAGGACTAATGAGAGGAAACGATGTCTACGCGAATGAAAGGAATTCTTTGCATCTGTTGTTAAGACTCATTGAACATTGCATTGAAGTGTTGGGTCTTTGGAAGCTGTTATGCGATCATCAGTTCCACGCAATCACAGCAGTCCTTCCCATTGAAAAGCAGAATCAATTGATTGGAATGACTTTCAAAGAACTTGTCGTTTACGGCAGCGAAATGACTACTCTATTGGCCAGTGCTTTGGTCCGCAGGTTTATCGAAGACAACTCGACTACTGATATCATTAATAGGCGTCTCCAAGAGGTCTGTCCGTCGATCTATAAGAATGAGAACGCATTGCACGCAAAGGCACACGAATTGGTGACTAAAGCCAAGTCAATCGCCAACCCGACAGACAGGGCCTCGCAGTTGGAGTACGCGTTGACTTTGTGCAAAAAGATCGGGTCTCGCATTAATCTCCAACCCATCTGTGAATTGTTTCAATCCGTTCAATGGTATGAAGCGGTTGTCGACATTTGCCTATTGACGGCCCAAAACCGCGATCCGCAGAATTTAGCCCTTCATTACTATCGCAATGGCGAACAAATGGAGGATCAGATCGGATATTACGTGTTCAGCGCTCGCAATGAATGTTATAAATTATTGCTCGAAGTATACGAACGACTCGTACAGCAAAGCAGATCGCTATTGAATCCTAGAGGAGAGGAATCGCCGCAAACTATGCTCTCCTTAGAAGAGGCGAAGAAACGGTCAAACGATGTGTTAAGGCATGCGATTGAGTCGAACGACGAGCTCTTTCACATCGCTCTATACAACTGGCTCTACGAACACCAACAGAGCGATCGACTCCTCGAGATTAAGTCCCCGTATTTGGAGAGTTATCTGAAACGCAAAACGTCTGCCTTTTCTGATTCAATCG